TTTTTTTTTTTTTTTTTCTTTGGTCAAAAGGTAGGGGATGGTTTGGATTTTCTTAAAATCGAAGTTTGAATGCCCAGCTGTACTGATGAATATTATTAATGTATAATTTAAATCGAGGTTTCAAGTATTATTATTGTTATTATTATTATAATATTATTTTTTTTTTCTAATTTGGAAATGTGAGGTTTCAATTATTATTATTGTTATTATTATTATAATTATTATTATTTCTTTTTCTAATTTGGAAATGTAAGAGGATGGTTGGACACAAAAATTCTCAAAAAATTCAAACTTTTATAGCTCAACTAACTATCATCAATATTATCAAATAATTACATAATATCAGTCAATCATTCTTACATACCACATCAATTTTAATTCACTATTCATCCACTCACATAATTCCAAACCATCACTTCAAATCACCTCTCTCATATTTCACGTCAAATCAACTTTAATTAGTTTATTTTAAATATTATTTTAATATACTCACAACAACTAACCTTACCACCATTTTCAAAATTAATCAAAAATCAAACCAAGATATCAAATCGAAAAAAAAAAAATTATATCCAAGAAAATACTTGTTTTCACTAAGGGGGCGATTGAATATAAATAAAACCGGTTTTGATTGGATTTGATGATTAAAGTTAATTATTTTTGAACAAAGTTAATAGAGTGAGAGACCGAGTGAGATTTTGAGTTTGTAATTAAATAGTATTTAAAAAATAATGATTAAAGTCCATGTGATGTAAAAGTATGAGAGATATTGAAAATGATATGTAGTCAAAATATGCTACCACTGTCTAGCCGTCGGGGTCTCCGTACTCTTTGGGCGACGCTGTTGCTCTGAATCCCCATTGATGAGGTGCTCGGCATTTCTGTACCCGGTGAGCTCATTTTGGTAAGTTATGGTTTTCAGACTATTTTGGTCAATTTTGTACGAGTTCTAACAGAAGAAGAATTTGGTCAATTTGGTCAATTTTACAATTAAAAAAGAAGAAAGTTACATAACAAAATACATTTCACAGAATAATGATTCGATGAAATCAAGACATTCTCCCTTAAGTCTCAAGAAACTGCAACACAAGAATCTGGGTATGTTTTTGATCTGTTACAAAGCCTGCTGAATAGTGAATAATATAAATTATTAGGTTATCTCATCCGTTTGCTTTTGTAATCTCGTAGTCTCAATCTCGTTGACTTCCAAACTTATCGCACCATCCACCATTAATTTACAAGTCTCGGTTGCTTTCTGATCTTTCGATGGTACGCGTTTGGTTTCCAACAACTTGCCAGCTTTTGCTATTGCAAGAATGAGCTCAAGCTGTTTTTGCTGTTGCTCCCGCATGATGATGATGATGGTCATGAACTAGAAATCAGTTACCTCTATCTAGTTCGAATTTAGTGTTTTCTATAACAAGTTAACAACAGCACAACAGAATATATCTATTTTCATAAATGATTATTCGACTAATGGTGAGTGTTTTCTAAAAGTATACACTGAAGCTGCAGTTTGTAAAATATAGACAAACACATGTACCTGTACATCCCGAACTATCGCTCCAGTTATTTCAAGAATTACACATAGTAATTGTTTATATATTCTTATAAGTTCAGTGAAAAGAACGTACCTGCATAGCCAGCAGAACCTTTTGAATTTCACCGAGTTCCTTCTCAAGAATGTCTTCTTGTGCTGCCAATGCTCGAGTTTCCTCGGAATTTTTCATGGCCAATGCAGCAGTCTGAAAATAATTAAAAGTTTCAGGAGTCAACTTTCCAGATCCTCCAAGCACACCCTCCATATTCAGAACACAAAGCAATTTCGTAAAGGTTAATTTAATAAAAAAAAAAAAAAAATACCATTCGGGTTTATGTCAACCGAAAATTCCCTTGAAGATAACAATTTGCAAAACCGAACAAAACGCCCAGGTAGTTATTTTTAACTATGACAGAATGGATATTTTTTTTTTTCCTGAAATCCTCCCATTCTTTTTCCTCTCGTAATCACGTAATTATCTCTGTTTATTAGTCTGCAAACCAGCTCTAGCTAAGTCCTCACCTTTCTCTGGCCAATGGCCAACTTGAAATATATCGAATGAACTTATTACTTCTTGAAGATAGTTCAGGGAAATTATTGATGTTACTCATAGCATATGCATTTGTCCTGTGTTAGCCATTCAATCATGAAATACACGCTCCTAGTAAGAACGACAAAAGTATGCTAAACAAGCTTTTACCTCACTCTTATAGGGCTCCAGTTAGGCTCGAATATCATTTTTCTTGGTCATCAAACTCTACGCTTATCACATACCACATGAAATGCATTTTTGCATCATTGACCATACACAATCATTACGATACTTGAGCTAATTCTGGACAGAACCCTTATTAGAAGGTCAAGGCCATACAACCATTCATCTATCATCCACCAAATTCGACTTGCAATCTCCAATAGTATCCATTTTTATAAAGAAAATCTTATGAGCTCGTCATGCCAAGAAATAAAAAGTAGCTTTTACCACGAGAAGCATTAAAGTTTTCCAGAAAGAAAGAACAACAGCTCGTAGGTCAATCTCCTTAGAAGGATTCCATTAAAATACATTGTAACAAAAGAAGAAAAATGCGAAGGATGTGATATAATATGCATCTAATGAATCGTACTAGTTAATGTGGATCAAAATCAAGAACCGTAATTCTATTCTCCCAGACGATCATCAAAGCTTCACTTCAACAAGAGAAGATGGTAAATTATACCCAGATACAATCAAATTCTAATGAAAACAAGATGACACCACAAAATTACCTCCGAAATGGGTTCTTTGATAGCTTTCCGAGTGGCCCGGACCCGAATCCCGAGCTTCTCAATCTGCCTCGACAAAACCCTAACAATGGTGGCCGACCCGCGCAAATCATCCTCCAATTTCTCAACCCTCCCCAACAAATTAGCCCCATGACCATACGCGCCTCTCGAGAACCCAACGGTCCCGCCAATCCTCCTCCACTGCCGCCGTCTTATCACCGCCCCAACAGACGCGCCGCTCACCAAAAGCACGCACTGACACAACAGAATCCTCCCGTTCCCGAAAACGCTGCCGTTCAGTGCCCCGCAGCTCAGAGCCATGTAGACGGAAATCGCCGCGGAGGAGGCCAGGCTGAGAAATTCGACAAAGGAGAGAAAACCGTCCAAGTCGAAGCTGTATACGAAGCTGTTTTTATCATTCGCATTCGCTAGGCTTCTTGAGGGGCCGTACGGCTCGTCGAAGGCGGCGTTGATTTTTCTGCAAACAGGGAAAATGTGTGGTTGCGAAAATTTCTGAAGCCCGAAAACTGGGACAGGGGACTTCGGATTTGGAGGTGAAAATGGGTACTGTTTTGAGGGTTTTGTGTGATACAAGGTGGGATTCTTGTCCGTGAAGATGGCTTGAGCTGCGAGTGACATTTTGATCTAACAACAATTGTGGATGAAAAAGGGGGTTCAGTCATTCTTGCGTGTCTCGAGCTTTCTGGGTTGCAGAAAATTGCATGGTTTCTTGAATGTCGAATGGCGAATTTTGCTCGAAGCAGAAACTTCAAAATTGCTCGACTCTGTGTGTGTGTGTGTGTGTGTGTGTGTGAGAGAGAGAGAGAGAGAGAGAGAGAGAGAGGACAATGCGATATGTTCAATGTTCAATGGGAATCGGCCCGAAAATAATCTGGACTAGCTCCGAGACATCTGGTTAATTGCAAAATTTTATAATTAAGTTTAAAAATTTCAAAAATTATATATACAACAATTTTCTTATGAATAATCAATAAACATAATAGAAATAAATAATTTTCATGTGAATTTTATATTATCCCACATCTTAAATATTTACCACATAAAATAGAAATATGTACATATAATTTATAATCTCAAAATTCAATATATATTTTAAAAAATTAATACTTATATGTAAGTATTATGCAGGGGCAAAGAAATTCAGCGTCAGCAAGTTTATAGACATTAAGATGGTAGACTCCAAGACCATGTATAAAGTCCAAGAACTTTCAATTAATCTTGCGCAACATCCATGTTGAATGAATGATTAAATGATTTAGCGAGTCGTTTCAAGTTGCGACTGTGGTTGGAAAAACTTCAAGAACTACTTCAAGCACAATAGGAAGAAAATTTGTCTTGAAGACCTGATTGTTCGTCTCCGTGTTGAATACAACCATTATTCGTCGGAAAAAACCTCAACGAGTGAAGCTCGTGCTAACTTGTTGCAACAAGACAACTCGAGCAAGAACGCTTCTTGTGAATAACAAGGGGAAGCAACCTATCTAGGTTTGAAAATTTACTGGCAGCTGCCACAGTTTTGTAAGGCTGAGCCATAAAGACTGCAAGAGGTCTAAGAAGGTTGGACTAAAAAGGGTGCAATTGAGTACCCACATTGTTGAACAAGGCCCTATGCCGGGTGAATCGACCGACCATGATATGTCGCTTATGGTGTTTGGAGCTAATATGGTGGATACCCAGAAGAATGGTACATGATACTGGTGTCATTTGTCATGTTTGTTTCGACAAAGAGTTATTTTCAAATATACTCCTTGTACTTGTCTAAAACTTCACATGAGCAACTCCACATTATCTGATGTGGCTAGGGTTGGCACCATGGTGCTGCAACTATCTTTTAGTAAAGAGTTTAAGATTAAGGTTGTTCTTCATGTCCCGGACATCAGTAAGAATTTAGTTTTCGGATCACTTATTTTAAAGCATTTGTTTAGGATAGTGTTTGAGTGCTAATTAAGAAATTTTAAGCACATTTAGAACTTTCTTTGGTCGTGGCTATCTCAGGCAAGAGCTTGTACATAGTGAATGTAATGGTTGTAAGTCATGTTGCCATTTCTAATGATAATCAAAATTATATTTCTGTGTATATTGTTGAGAGTCTCCGTTTTGTAGAACATTATATTAGGACATATAATTAAGCGATTGATGAATTTTAAATTAATTCTTCTAAAATCGACTCATATAAAAAATTGTGAAATTTTTGTTAAAGACAAAAAAACTAAATTACCTTTTCATTGGTTGAAATAAGTACTTCACCTTTGGGTTTAATCTATATGATGTATGTAATAAGAAAATTTTGCAAACAAAAACGGGTAAAAATTATCTTATAACTTTTGTTGATGATTGCCTAATATTTTGCTGCTTATATTTGTTAAGCAGCAAAGACGAGATTGTGAAAAGGTTATAATTTTTTATATTATACCAAAGTTGAAATCAACTCAGTAATATACAATAATCCGAAGTAATATGGGTGGAGAGTATGTAACTCATTTTGAACAAATATATTTTGAATATGGCATAATTCATCACACAATGGCCGGCCCCCTACTCTCTACAGTCAAATGGTGTTGTTGAATACAAGACCCGAACCTTAAAAGAAATTATAAACGTCATGTTAGTAAAACTAAGCTATGAAAGTTAGCTGAATACTCAAAATATAAAGTTTGTCCAAAGGCTCTTCCCTTTATTAATCGAAATGAAGAATTACTTGTTGATTGTGGTGAGAACTAAACTTGTGGAATTTTAGTGAATTCATAACTTTTTAATTATGGAATAATACATGATACTCTTTATAGGGAGGTCACATATATAAATGTGAAGTGATGGACGCTTCAAATCTAAACAGTTGTGAATCTAAATTATTATTCATAGCCAAAACAGACACAAAGATATAACGAATTGGAGTTAAGGCTCTATTTTTTTTAATGCCATTTTGTCGGTATACACCATGGAGGAATAGTTCAACTCATTATTTCCACTAATTCACCAGTACATCTGATGATGTATACTAAAAAAGGTTCAAAACCACAAGTTACCTTTTATGATGCAATAGAGTCTTGTGACGATTGAGCACAAGACTCTGCATACATGCATACATTTGATTTCACTCGTGAGAGATTGTTAGAAAACCAGTTATTTAAAACTGGGGATTGACCCAGTTTTGACATATTTATTTAAGGCTAAATATTTGCTTTGGGTTGAATTAAAATGTATAAAAAAATTCTACGGTTCGAGTAGATACTCATGGTATATTTATTTTCTCAAAAATCACTATGGGTGAGTGAGAAATGATTAAAATTAACCATTAATGGACACGTACGTAAAACATTGGTTGGATTTTTTGGAATTAAGATTTACACAATATCTTTCTCAAATAGCAATTTTATTTTTTTAAATTTGAATTCGAACTTTCATCCAGCCTTCATTTTCCAAAAAAAAAAAAAAAATACCAAGAATAGTACTTTTAAATTTTTAAGCAAGAATTTTAATACTATATGAAGTAAATCTCTCTCTCTCTCTCTCTCTCTCTCTCTCTCTCTCTCTCTCTCTCTCTCTCTCTCTCTCTCTCTCTTTATTATATAGTAATGGATACGAGTAAAGAATTATTACAACATCCAATCCCACTATATATAATTTCCGAATGTGCTGAGCCTAAATGGCAGACTCACATGTCTCGGGATCCTACGTGTCAAAATTCCATGCTTTATTATTTGGCTTGTATAGATATTAAATTAATTTCAATCCAAAAATAATTAGTTCTGGATTACCATAAATATGTTGATTTATTTATGATCATTTTAGATTTATTAATTGTATTTTAATATCATTTCTTATTATAACAATTAAATTGTAAATGTATTTTAAAAGTTGATAACTTTTGTATTTTTTATCGGTGTTACATATATGTAATATATCAAATTAATCATCTTTTGATAAGCTTCGATTAACATCCATATTGTATATATAAAATAAATAAATTATATTTATCTTATAATTATAATAAAAATATTTATTAAAATATAGAAAAATAAAATTATTTCTCAATGAATATATTTATGTTTAATGTAGTTATATGTTATAAGTTAGAAAAATTATTACAATATAACACCAGTAAGTAGCACAAGTAACAAGTGTCATACTAAAATATATAATAATATATATTTTTTAAGGTTTTAAATAGCGGGCTAAAACTTTTATGGCACTGTAGCGGAGATTTAGCGGGATTTAACGGCTAAATTGCACATGAATACAAATAGCGGAACGCTGCCAAAAAAAGTTATTTCTCAAATAGCGGCAACTTTAGCGAGCTATTTATTTCCTTGATATTTTTTATAAAAGGTATTAAAATTTTTAACAACTTTTTCTCATTAATTTTTAATTTAAAAAAAAAAAATTAGCAAGCACCCGTGTAATACACGGGTGTTGTACTAGCAAGTACTACTACAATAAACACTAATAAGGTAAAAAAAAAAAAAAATCGCATCTTCTAAAGCACAATTACATGGGATCACTTTACATAAGATGATACAAATTAACCACCATTTGCAATCTACAAGCATAAATGGTAACTTCAAAAGCATTAGAGCTTAAAAATAGACATGTAAAGAAGGACCCTTATCAGTCAAAGCTTGAAAGAAAACTAACAAACATCCTTCTAAGATTTGTTATGAATAGAAAAAAAATTGCACAAGCGTTCTTAAAACGGAGCCATATAAGTTAACAATAGTAACCACATTTGATGAAGTTCTTGCATGGAATCTGTGCTTATACTTTGATAAAATAATCCCCACCACTACTATAATTTGATAAATTTATAAATACATTTTAATTAGAATGTCAAGTGACTTATAAAGTGTGTTGAAATTTTATAATTATATACCTTAGAGAGAGTTATAAACAATTCTTAAACAAATAAATTGTGTGCATGTTGACATTTAGAAATTTCAAATTGATAATTTAATATTCTCCCCTAGTCGTGTATGTGGTGGTTCAGGCGTCTTTGCCGGTTCTGTCAATGGAGTATTTTTACAAGCTTTGTCACGCCGTTTTGCTAGAATGATTGATTCAGATTTAGCCGAGATTTTGGCGTTGCGGGAAGCGGTTCTCTTGGCTCAGAAATTAAATGTTCCGAATGTGGCTGTCATGGGGGGGTTCTTCCTTGATTGTTCAAGCTTCATTTGGTTTAGCTGATGCCCCTTCGAGTTGTTCGCCGATTACAGATGATATCGTTGCTTGTTTATCTCATTTGCCTACTGTTAGATTATTTTGGATTCCACGTTTGGAGAATGTTATTGCCCATTCTTTAGCTAGGCATGCAACTCAATCTACTTTTGATATTTCTGTATGGAGTGATTCCCCAAACTTCTTGTCTCAATTGGTGTTGGACCTTTTCAGTAATCTAATGCATGTTTGTTTAAAAAAAATAAGGTCCAAAATGTGGAGTGTGAAAAAAATTTAAAATGGTTGAACGACATGATTTTATTTCAATCAAGCGACATTGTTGATACAATTTCTACATAAAATTTTCTAATTATTCTCTTGTTAGACTTGAACTAGAATCTTCGAAGTGGATTAATCCTTTTGATGCTTACATGATGGTGATGCTAATGGAAGACTTTTTTTAGGAGTTAGATGCTGATCCAACGAAGAAAAGTTTGTGCAAGCATCCGATTTTCCTTTAAATAGTATAGTCTCCGCTTTCCCTACCAGGATAGGCTAGACCTTCTTCTGACTGGTAGTTCCGGGCTTCCTATTTGAGTTCTATCGGGCAAAGCCTTCCAACAACGAAAGGATCCGGCATAGCTTCTTGAAGCGACCTTTCTTTCACTTTCAAGCCAGCCAGCGGGGTCCCGTAATATGTTTTCTTCCCATGGTTTGGAGGATTACTTAACCAGCTCAATTACATCGAGCAGAAGATTAATCCTTTTGATCACCTGCGGATTTGAGTTTAAATTTGAAATACGTCAACTTGAGGTCGATTTAGGACTTGATTTGATTGAAGAGAGGTTCTTATCTGAATTGGTACTTCGATCTTCCTCCAAGATGGAATTAAGTTTAATTGACGTTGAGCCAATGGCTTAAAAGATTATTATTATTATTATTATTAGTATAATTATTATTATTATTATTAGTATTATTATTATTTTGAATAAAACCATAATATACAGAAAATATGAATTCTCCAAATCATTCCAAGAATATTGGAAGTTCCCAATGTCCTGCCACATGGATCCCACAAAATACACTTTATATCACACAAAGTTTATTGTAGCCCAATTAGGCCACTTTATTTCCAGTCTTGAGGTCTATAATAATTTCACACATTTCTTAGACACCATAAAGACCCCACATCAATAGTTCAACACAAGCCCACTGATTTGGGCACACACATTTTTATACTTAGCCTCCACAAAAAAATATATCTAATCTAACTATACCTGCCCATCATCAGCACACAAACAAACCCATAATGATACATAACAATTTTTCGCGCATTATCGACTAATTCGAAACATCTAAATAAAAGCACGGGATCGCAGTGCGCCCTTAAGAGATCAAGCGTTGAGAGGACATCCTTTTCTTCCTTAACCTCTCGGCAACAATAAACGCGAGCTCGAGAGATTGCGAAGCATTCAGCCTCGGGTCACAATGGGTGTGGTAGCGTGAGCTGAGATCATCAAATGTCACGGTTCTTGATCCTCCTATGCATTCAGTCACGTTTTGTCCCGTCATCTCGAGATGAATCCCACCAGGGTTGCTGCCTTCTTGCTCGTGCACGTCAAAGAAAGCTCTCACTTCAGCCTACAAGAATAGACGACAAATTAAGACTTACTGTACTTGTAGTCAGTCACTATAGAGTCTGTCTAAAATGTTTGATTGGGACCGGTTCAAATGAAGCGCGCCCAAGTTGTGGCCGAGCGCTAATTTTAGAGACTAAGGAATCTTATTCCTAGGAATTCGAAACATAGAATGGTCCGTATGATAAAATGACAGCAAGCGACAAGTCAAGCTTTCAGCCAATGAAAATGATGTCATTTTGAAAGGCTTGATAAATAATTGAACCATGTGACAGACAATACAGGACAATGATTCACTAAGAAAGCAACACAACGGGAATAATGTGTGACCTAATACTCGTGCACCTAACTCAAAACATTTTATCATAACATGATAAAACAAAAGATGCAACATGAAACTATAATCCAGTCTAAATTAAAAACTTAGCCTGGAATGGCTTTTTAATGATCATAACGTAAAACAAGCTTAGCATATTAATTAAAAACCAAATCATGATAAGAGGAGAGAAAGGGAGCATACCAAGATTGAATCAAAAGCACGGGTTTTGAGTCCACAGGGTGCCTTGATCGTGTTTCCATGCATGGGATCACACACCCAGGTCACAATTTGGCCAGCTCTACGGACGGCTCTGATCAAATGAGGAAGCTTAACTCTCGTGTTCTCGGCACCCATTCTGACTATGACCGTGATTCTCCCCGGCTTGTTAGTAGGATTTAAGATGTCAATCAGTTTTGTGAGTTCATTAGGGTCCATCTTTTGGCTCACCTGCAGAAAAATAGAAAACAATAACTATCCATCTTTGGACAACCCATGGTTTTAATTTTGCATGTAAGATAATTTTATCTCGTAACTAGCCCGTTTCATTTTTTGCGAAAGAACAATTGAGAATTACTTTTCCCAGAGTTTGTAAAATCGGGTGAATAATTAATTCCGAATAAAATTCATTTATGCTAATACTATAAATTTAAAGGATTATTTTGTAATTCTCCTAACACAATTCAATACGTGCAATAGCGAAAAAAAAAAAACAAAAAAAAAAAAGAATAGTGTTACCTTGATACCAAGAGGATTAGCTATCCCTCTCAAGAACTCGACGTGTGCGCCATCGAGCTGCCTAGTGCGCTCGCCAACCCAAAGCATGTGGGCCGAGCAGCCATAATATAACCCGGAAGTCGAGTCCTTACGGGTGAGGGCTTGTTCGTAAGGAAGCAACAGACACTCATGTGAAGTCCAGAAATCAGTGGTGGCCATAATTGGGTGGTCGATCGTGAGCCCAGCAGCCTCCATGAATCCCAGGGCCTCATCGACCCTGTGGGCCAGTTCTTGATACCTGCCCAAACAATCCACAATCACTCAAGCTTGTAGATTATGGAATGGCAAAATTGCATGTAACTAATGAAACGATAAAAATTAAAACTAAGTTGCATTTTTTTCGGTTGGAAATTTCTTGATTTATTAAAAAGAATTAAGGATTGTTTTAATAATCTAAAAATTTAGTTGGATCCTTTTATTATGAATAAACTCATGTGGTCCTAGAATCCAAGTTATGTAATAAACGTAAAACAAAGACAGCGAAGATGAGATCATCCGATAGGGACAATATAAACTACCAAAGTGACAGCATAACATCCATTCTTTAAAAACAAACTAATATGAAAAACACCTGTCTCCTTGCTCGCTGTTCTCGACAAAATCAAGATTCCAATGAGTGACCCTCTGCATTGCCGCATAACCTCCGGTAGCAAAGGCCCGAAGAAGGTTGAGGGTCGATGCAGACTGGCAATAGGCCCGTATCAACCTTTGAGGATTAGGGACTCTTGATTTCTCATCAAAAGAATCTCCATTTATGTTATCTCCCTTATAACTGGGAAGTTTCACTCCATCCCTTTCTTCGAAAGGGTCCGATCTTGGTTTGGCAAATTGCCCGGCCATTCTCCCAACCTAACACGAAACCGGCGCAAAATATAAAAAAGCTTATGATTCATATGGAAATCCCCTGCTACAGTGACATAACAGATGATAAATACTACACTGTCTAGTTATAGATCAAATGTCACATAGTTTTGTATGTCATACTATAACAGACCAAGCATAAGGTGCGCAACTAAATTAGTAATCCTCCGATTATTATTTTCTCCTAAAAGATTTCATATTTATGCACCAAACAAGAAAGGCACATTACTACACAATCTGGATTTTCACAGCTATAAATCACCTGTCTAACCATATGAGGAACCTAACTCCATAAAACTAAGCAAGAATATAAGTTACCTTAATTACAGGCAATTGGCCGCCGAAGGAGAGGACGACGCTCATCTGGAGCAGAATTCTGAATGTGTCCCGAATATAGTTGGCGCTGAATTCCTTGAAGCTCTCGGCGCAATCACCGCCCTGCAAGAGGAAGGCTTTCCCGAGCGCCGCCTCCGCCAGCCGCTCCTCCAGGCTGCGGACCTCGCCGGCGAACACCAATGGAGGGTAAGCCTCCATCTTCGTCAGCACGGACTCGAGCTCGGCCTCGTCCGGGTACTCCGGGAGCTGCAGGGCCTTCTTGGTCTTCCAGGTGCCCGGGGCCCACCTGGCGCCGACGGGCGTCGGGGCCAGCAGAGACACGAGTGGGGCGTGGGCGTCCGTCTTGGTGGCGGCGGAGGCGGGGGTTTTGGCGGGCTCGGCCGCGTGGACGGCCGAGATGCGGAGGTGGCGGTGGCGGTGGCGGCGGGCGGAGGGTCCGAGGGGGAATGAGACGCGATGGACGACGGGGCCGGGGGCGGGGAGGCGGATGGCTCGGTTTCGAGTGAAGGATTTGGACGACAAGGCGGCGGCGGTGTTTGGTAGAGCTAGCGCCATTGTTGTTGCGGTTTTCGTTTTTCCTTTTCTAGCAGGGAATGGTAGAATGTGAATAGCTTTACAGAGCACCTAAAAGGGTATATATATATATATATATGGGAGAGAGAGAGAGAGAGAGAGAGAGAGAGAGAGAGAGAGAGAGAGAGAGGGGCTTTTAATTTTGGTTGGTGAAAATTAAGAAACTTAGTCAAATAAGGTTTAGGGAAGGTTAGGTATCATATATCATGAGATTGTTGGTTTTTATTTTTCTGATTTTTAATCCTAATAAATTATTGCAGGATTTTTGGCTACCACGTTCTTTACCTAATCCCTATTTTGTTAGGCAAATGTAATTTCAAATTATCATCCGTTAGTAAAATTATTTATAAAAAAAAGAATACTAAAAAAATTACTACTATTTATTTAATATATATATATATATATGTTATGAAATTTATTCATGTCTTGACATGACCCTTTTAACATACTACTATTTTTTTTTCACTAAATGATAGATATTTTGATATTAATATTAAGAAATTAAAAATTACAAACAAAAAAGAGTTAGAATAGCATAATCAAATAGCGAAAATTGTTGAATTTATGAAAATCATAAAGAGGAAAGCCTAAATTAGTCAACACAAGGCAATCCAAAAAGGCAAAAACTATAAATAAAGAGTATGGTTACAATTCCGTTACATAACCATTTTGTCGTAGTTTGTAACCGTTAGATGCGCATACTACATTAATCTACTTGTGCATGTAACGGTTACAAATCTCAACGTAATGGTTCCGTAATGACACTGTAGCATTTTCCATAAATAAAATCTAATCAAACTCCATTATGGATTATCAGTTAAGTAAATTTATTTAATTCAATGATATGATAGGACTCAGAAAAATTATTATAAAATGAAACTATCTAATATTATGGATGAGTTTATCAATAGCCATGTAATACACAAATGTTGTACTACTGGTAGCATGTATTAAAAGTTACATAACAAACTAATTATGGGTTTATTTTATTTTTAAATTAGCGAAACAACATAAAAAGAAAAAAATCGATAAACAAAACACGAGTATTTATCTATATTTCAACCAGTGTTTTAAAAAGCGCATCGCACAATGCGTCGAATTTTGGTCCTTATATTGCGTAGAGTAAATAGTGTAGCGCATTGCATAAGCTATTCGAGCAATTCACTTTTAATGCAAAAAATAATAATATATAACCTTACGAGCAAATAAATAATTAAAATGGTCTTAAACCATAACCTTGGACATTAAATCTAAAAAATAACATTCAAATATTAATTCTTCAAACAACCAAAGTCTTAGGGATTGATTGTTTACAAATTATTTCACTCTCTTTTATTTCAACTCAAAATTTAACTCAACTTTAACTCAATCCCACTATCTTTAATATTATTCATATAATTAAATAATACAAACCAATCATTCTTACACATCACATCAACTTTAATTCATTATTCATCCACTCACATAATTTTAACTACCTATCATTTCCAATCATTTCCAATCATTTATCTCTTACTTTTACATCAAATCAATTTTAATCATTTTATTTTAAATATTATTTTAATACATTCTTAAAATACCACTAACAACTAACCATACACCTTTTTCAAAATTAACCATGGTTAACCAAAATAACTCATGTTGAACAAATTATTCCATAAACAATCAAACCCTTAATATTTAAAGTAAAGACTCAAAGTCTTAAAATAATCGGTGTTATCCAATTGAATTTGGCTATCATCGTCAATTCTATCAAAATTATGGAGATTTTCACTATAAAAAATTATTGGTACAAAATCACCAAATAATTATTTTTTTTCAAGAGAAATATGAAACATGATTTAACAATAACTCAAATTCGCCTTGGGAGAAATTACTCGATTTGGTGCCCTACGTTTTTTTTTATGTATTTATTATTTTATTTTTTATTTTTTGCAAACAAAAAATAAGAATTGCCCAAATAACGTGAGCAAGACGAGCAATAGCGTAAATAACGAAAAATATAGCGCAAATTGCGTAAATAGAGCAAAATACAGCATAAATTGCGTTTGTTTTTCAGGAACTGCGCGAAATTATATAAGCAATGTCGCGCTATTAAGTAAAAATGCGCAATGAAGCGTGAAATTGCGCTATTTAAAATATTGTGTTCAACATTAGGGTATTAGTATAATTCTAGCTTTCTAGCTTGAACACTATGACATTAAATTTATTTCCTTGATTCAAACAATATTTGTTATTTTAACCTTCAGATACATGAACATTAATGTTTGTGAAATCCGTAAAATAATGATAAACGTGACCAATAGTTTATTTTTTGGAGAGGCATTACCTAGCCTAAGCAACTAGACTCATTTCAACCGAACTGTAAAACTCAAATTTTACAGTGGGCTCCACTCTAATCATACTCCAAACTCAATCCAATTTTGCAGTTAGGTTCATAATCAGTAATGCTAAGGAGTCAACTATTGGCTCCGTTACAGAGCCAACAACCAATTATACAGTTCCATGTGGGTCTGTCCCACATGACTTTAATGTGGGACAACCCCACATCAGCTGTCCCATTGGCTGTTGGCTCCGCTAGAGAGCCAACAGTTGACTCCTTAGCATTACTAATAATCAATACTCCAAATTCAACTGCAAAATGAGTTTTACTGCAAAATGAGTTTTGCAGCTCTCTCTCCTCTTCGGATGGAAATTTGCATTATATCCCAAATTACGCGTTTCATTTTTTGAAATTGCATTGAAGCCCTTTTGTGTTATTAACAATATTCCAATACCCTCACCAATTTATATACATATTCCACTTATTTAAAGTGATTATGTAAAACTCAATCATAGCCATTAAATAAGGATCAAGATGTGTGAACAAGATTTAATTTCTTATTTTTTATTTTAATTATTTAAATATTCGTCTAACTATTTGACCATTGATTGTTGACTTCCAGTGTTGAATGTTGACTTTTGGTTATAACCGCCGACTTTCGGCATTGACCTTTTGACCGTAGTATGCACTATGTATGAATAAAATGTGCACTCGCAGTACGTAGTTGATATGAACTACATGCATTTGATATGAATTGAATATACAATCTTTATGCACTAGTTGTGCACTAACAATATGTGCATTGTTTATGAATTGGATATGCACTACGTATGAACGTGTAGTGAAAATATGCAATTAAGAGTGTGTTTGTATATAAAAAAACTCAATCTATAATCAATTCACACTCAAAATCTAATTCAACTTTACCTCAACTCCATTATTCTTAATAATATCAATATAATTATATAATATCAACCGATCATTTTTGCACATTACATCAATTTTAATTTACTATTTTTTCGCTCACATAATTTTCACTAACTATCACTTCACATCATCTCTCTCCTAATTTTACATCAAATCAACTTTAATTATTTTATTTAAATATTATTTTAATATAAAAACAAAATTCTACTAACATTTAACAATGTCACTTTTTTTCAAAATTAACTCTGGTTAACCAAGAAAACTCAATGTGAGCAGATATATTTGTATGCAAACACGCCCTAAATGTGTATTTTATATAATTAATTTAAAATATATTAATTACTATTTTTATAATATAATTAATATAAATTTCAATTGATTAATATGAGCCATTGATCAACACAAATAAATGGCTATGCTTGGACCTCACAGGAACTAAATATGCACTATAATAAACTAAATATGCATTTTTTATTACATAAATAGGCATATTGTATTACAATAATTATATAATAAAAAAAGAATATATAATATAAAAAATA